TCCTGCTGATGACGCTGTTGTCACACCAAATGCTGGTACAACAAGGGAAGCAGCTGCTGAGCCTGACCCGCAGTTGAGTCCTGCCTCGGCTCTCGACGGACTGCAAAGGCTACAAGGGGCATTTGATGCCTATCGGCCATTGCCTGTGCCACAGGTCACGCAGCGTCCGCGAGTGAGGAGAGCTCGCAGGCAACAGAGAATTGGTGGTTCCCAGAGGACAGTCGGTGCCAGGTAAAGCAGAAAGGAAATTGGGTCTGAACTGCACTCTTATCAAGTCTGGCATCGCTTTAAAACTGCCTTGCTTTCCTGGCTTATAGAGCCCAGCTCAGGCCAGAGGTGTGGCTGTGGCCAAATTCTGGGCAGCTCACATACCATTTAAGCTCGATAGTGGCACAGTGCTCTCTGATCTCTTCTGGCAGGATCTCTGCTCTTAAGTGAATCCCCCTGTTTCTTATGTTGGCAGCGGTGGTATTGACTTCTGAGCCCTTCCACGCTTTCTATCTTGCTTGCAGAGCTTCTGCTCGCGCCGTTCCCCCTGCTCCGCCAGATTCCTGTCGGTGCTCCCTGCAGCAGTGCTGACGCTCGGCAGTTCCCGCCAGCATTTAGCTCAGTGGAGCTTGTGCTCTGTTTCACATTTCACCTTTGATTTGAGGATTGCTCGATTAGGTTTTCTGGTGACAACTGCTGCAGAAACTTTCAAAAACATGCAAACTAATATTTTTCTGTAGGGGGGGGGGTTGTTACCTCCAGGCAAAGAAAGTAAAAATTCTGTGTTTAATACCATTTGTGATGGGTTTAAAGGGTGATGAGTGGGGATGCTCTCCAGCCAGAAAGAAGTCCCTGTTTCTGTTTTTTTTGGTTTTTGTCTCATCTTTGTAGCTTTTGTAAATGCCAAGGGTGAAATTATAATTAACTGGAGCATCGCCTTTAAATTCAGCGAGACCGAGAACTCCTCTCCTCCCAAACGATTAAACATAACTGTACTGTTTGCCCTTGGATTGTGTGAAGGTCACTGTAGTTCCCGGGGCTAGAAGGCAACCTGACAAACTTTGGCTTTGAATCTGAAGGATAATTGAGATGATAGCTGAACTGATGGGGAGGGAGGGGAGGATGTTTCTATCCAGGGACGAAGTTCCAGTAGAAAAGAGGAGGGAAAGTAGAAAGGCTAGGCACAAAGTAGTCAGTGGAATGAGACTGATACAAGCCTCGTGCATCGAATATTACCAGTGGCTATGAGAACCAGGCCTGAGTTAGGGCTGGAGGTACCGATTAGGAGTTCCTTAGGCTACTACTGAACGATACTTCTTTGCTTTTCTTCTCTCCAACCCTACCACCACCCCACCCCAAAAGAAGACAATGTCATTGTTGCAATGAGAAGGAGATTTTCTCTGAGCTGAGCAAAATGAATGGTTGCTGTATGATACTGCTGATTGTTCATAAAGTGATTGCCCCTCTTACCAGAGGAGATCTGTCTTGATAACTTTGGTACCTTCCTGTTGCAGTCAGAGCCTGGGAATCGTACCGCAAACAAGCGTGGAGAAACATGCGGAGTCTTTAGTTTACCCAAAATAACTGTGGGTTTTATTTCTTCCTTTTCTGGACTCAGGGCAGCATTGGACAGTTACTTTCAACTCGGCAGGACCCAAGAGCCAGCTACGGGACCAGTTCCACGTCTGGAGCCCTTGCACATTGCGAGGCACAGCCAGGAACACAGCTCAGACGAAATAATAGAAGTGAGCGACTCTGACAGCAGCACTTCTGCTGAGG